ACGTGCTCGGGCAAGGCCCCCGCTCCTCTGGCTCCCAAATGCGTTGGGGTGGGAAAGCAGCTGCAGCTTAGACGTGGAATTCTCCCGAAGCCGGCTGTCCATCAGCCAGAAGATCCCTGGCACCGCCGTGGCCCGAGCGAAGAAGAAGAGGCGGCGGTGGAGGCCCAGTGAGCTGGCAGAGCCCAAGAGAAACTGGCAAGTCCTGAAGGACAGGTGAGGACCCGGGGGGCGGGGCTTCCTCTGCACCCTCCCGGGCTCCCCTGTCCCCTCTGCTGGCTCCCCTCCCCAACCGCCACCAAGTCGGACGAACTTAGGGGTTAGCTGGCTGTGGCCAGACACCAGGACTCGCTGGGAACTCTACCCTCCGGGCGGTGGCCAGAGCAGAGTGAGGTGTCCGGGAGCAAACGGGAGACCCCGGGCAGCAGGCAGTGGGCTCGGCCCTGTCTCCTCGCAGGAAGGGCTGCCGTTGTGGGGGCTATGCCTGGATTTCCCCATGCCAGACCAGCCTGCAGTTCTGTCTCTACTGGTAAGTCCAGGGCCGTCTCCCCCGTCTGTCTGTGCTGGGGGACACGCGGCAGGTTCCAGGGGACCCCTTCACCTGGCCACCCTCTTCTCTCCAGGGAGAAGCACGGGGGGGCTCCTCAGGTCGGGGGCTCTGCACCCCCAGGGCTGTTCCTGACTTCAGCCTTGTGGAAGCAGGTGTGACCTGGGCCTGCTCCCAGTAGGGGTCTGGGCCCCCGTAGTTCTGCTTTCCCGCAGCTGCCTCCTCCTGCGGCCACAAGACTCACTCAGGACAAGCCGTGGGTCCCGGGGGCCTGCAGTGGACTTCTCTGGCCTTCCCTGGCCTTCCCCTCTCCCCGCAACTCCGTGCCTGCCCTCGGCCGCCCTCCCGGCAGAGACCCGGGCTTCTTTCCGGCATGGCCTGGGCTCTCTGCTCCCTTCCCTGAGCCACCCGCTTATTCTAGGCCGTCTGTGTACTGGACGGAGCGCTTCCTGGAGGACACCACCCTCACCATCACGGTGCCTGGTAGGTGCAGCCGTGCCCGCCACCGCCCCGGCCCGGCCGCTGCGTCCGGATGCTTCTGGCCACCTCCGCAGAGCCTCTGTCCTGCCCACTTCTCTCTGGGGTCCTGCTCTGCAGTCTGTCCCCTGAGAAGCCAGACCTGGCTGCGGTGGTCCTGGGGCGAGGGCGTGGGGCACACTCTCCAGGGTAGGAGTCTACTTCACCGTCCACAATGTGTCCATGCTTTCTTTTTTGAGAGGAATCTGGTATTGAGGTATCACAGATACCTTTGAATGAGACGTTTCCAGAAAATTCTCTCTGCACCGCTCCTGAGGTTAGGCTGTCACCCACTGTCACTGTAAACCCAAGGCTCGTGCCGACTTCAGAACAAAACCCACTTTCCAGCCTGCGGGCTGCTGGATCTGTGTCGAGCCCCGTGGAGGGGCCGTGGGCCGAGCTGCCCCCACCCCTGCCACTCACAGCCCGCTGCCTGAGCAAGGAGCTTCAGGCCTCTGAGCCCGTTGTCCCTAAAACAGGGACAGCAGACCCCCTCTCTGCAGGCAGCCTGGTCCCCAGTTGTCTCTGCTCAGAGTTCTTCCACTTGAGCCTCCTGCCCCAGCCCATGAAAAGCTGAGTTCCTTGGGCAGAGGCCCCTGGGCACTGCAGGGCGTTGAGACCAGGGTTCACCAGCTCCGTTTCCCATTTGCACAGAGGTGTCCCGGCGAATGGAGGAGCTGTCTCGGCCCCGGAGATTCTACCTGGAATATTATAACAGCAACAGGTGGGGAAAGGAGACTGGGTGAGGGTCTGAGGGCACAACTTGGCAGGTGGCGGAGGGGGCCGGGTGAGGGTCCGAGGGCAGAGCTTGGCAGGTGGGGGAGGGGGCCGGGTGGGGGTCCGAGGGCACAGCTTGGCAGGTGGGGGAGGGGGCCGGGTGAGGGTCCGAGGGCACAGCTTGGCAGGTGGGGGAGGGAGCCGGGTGAGGGTCTGAGGGCACAGCTTGGCAGAAATGCCTTACCCTCCCCTGTCCGGGCGCAGAGGTGGGGAGGGTCCAGGTCTAGCCCTGGACAGCCTGCGTTCGGATGGGGCTGGCCCTCTTCCTGTCCCCGGGCTGCTGGGCCCCCGGCAGCCGCATTCCCGGCTGTGGAAGGCCGGCGTGGAGGCCGCCCGTGAACGGGGCTCGCAGTGCCGGTGCTGCACGTGCTCAGACGCTGTTACCACCGTCGTGACTGTATGTTGTTTACTCGAAAACGTAGAAATTGTAAGACACGTTATTATTTTACGTACAAAATTCTTTCTTATCACTTGGAGCCCCAGTGCTTGTTAAAAGCGTTCTTTTTTTTTTGAGACAGAGTCTCACTCTGGGGTCAGAACTCTTGTCGCCAGGCTGGAGCGCCATGGTGCAATCTCGGCTCACCGCAACCTCCGCCTCCCGGGCTCAAGTGATTCTCCTGCCTCAGTCTCCCGAGTAGCCGGGACTACCGGTGCGCACCACCACGCCCGGCTAATTTTTGTGTTTTTAGTAGAGACGGGTTTTCACCGTGTTGGCCAAGATGGTCTCGATCTCTTGACATTGTGATCCTCCTGCCTCGGCCTCCCAAAGTGCTGGGATGACAGGCGTGAGCCACCTCTCTCGGCCTAGAAGTGATCTTTAGTTTTTTAGGCCCAACCTAGAACCACCAATCTTCACACAGTGTATGAAGGAAAGCCACTGAAGGACACGGCGGAAGCGTGTCCAGCTGTCCTGACCCACTTTTCGCTCAGAGATGCTGATGGAGTCTCATGCACTGTTTCACGCCTGTATTTCTGCACCATAACTTTTTTTTTAATTTTTTTTTATTTTTATTGAGATGGAGTTTCGCTCTTGTTCCCCAGGCTGGAGTGCAATGGCGCGATCTCGGCTCACCGCAACCTCCGCCTCCTGGGTTCAGGCAATTCTCCTGCCTCAGCCTCCTGAGTAGCTGGGATTACAGGCA